AGGGTGTTGGATCCCCTGGAACTGTAGTTACAGACAGTTGTTAGCCATCATGTGGGTGCTTGGAATTGAACCTGAGTCCTCTGGAGGAGCAGCTAGTGTTGTTAACTGCTGAGCCGTCTCCCCGGCCCTTTAAAACACTGTGTAGGTGGTGTGCAGGATAACTTAGGGGAGTGGGTTCTGGGGCTTGAACTCAGGGTGTCAGGCTTGGCAGCACCTGCCCTCCCTGACCTGCTGAGCACGGCCCTTAAATATGAGTTTTCCATCACTCGAGTGGGAATGTCTCCCTAGTAAAGCTCATGTTTCTCTTTGTTTCTAACTACGGTTCTGTGTGCTGTGATCCCTGGGCTGCTCAAATGAAGCCCTCCCTGAGAGTCTGCCTAGGATGTTTCACACAGGCTTCTGTGTTGGTGCTGGGTTTATTCCTTCTGGATTAGGAGTAACTCCTGCTTTACCCCTCTTTTGTGTTTCCACTTCCAGCAGCCTTTTCTTCCTGTGTCTTGGTTTCTAGTCTTTGTCGGTTGGCAGATGTGGAACGAAGCTGGTTAGGATTAGTGGTTTATGTCTTGGAAACCCACGTTGGACTTTGTTCTGGCCTCCCGGGCTGTTTTGATCTTGTCTCCTCTGGTTCTGGAGCTCTGGTTCTAGTCCTGGAAATCCCGGTCCCCACAGACCAAGTGGGCCCACAAACAAACAGGTGTTTCCCATGAAATTTTCTTCCCAGGAGTTTTGTTTCTCGTGGTATGCTGTTTGTTAATGAGTGTTTGAACCCCACAGCTGTCAGCCCCCCTGCCTGCCCCCACAAAGTAGTGCATGAGACTTGAGGATGCTGGGCTGGCAATGTGGCTCAACTGTAGGAAGGAAGAGGCAGAGGAGGCGGGTAGCTCCTGGTGGTATCTAGCCCAGCTTGGAGGAAATCACTCTGGTCAGGGCCTGGAGTATGACTCAGTTTCCTCAGGTATGAGCAGGGCTGCTAGTGCCAAGCAGAGCTGTTCCAGGAGCGTCAATGGCTATGATTAGGAAATAAAGAGGCTTGTGGCTTCAGTGACTTGTAGCTCCCTTTTAGGTCACTGTGTGTAAATACTCACAGCTCCTCCCCCTCCTGGGTCAGAGCACTAAGGCATGGCTGAGGTTGGGCCAGAACCAGCTGGCAGGCAGGGTTAGAGCAGGCTACCAGCCTCCTCTCCCTTCTGTCTCCTTTGCAGCTGCCTTGGGGTGCTGAGAGGGAGTCCCAGAACCATGCCGGATCTCCTACTACTGGGCCTGATTGGGGGCCTGACTCTGCTGTTGCTGCTGACGCTGCTGGCCTTTGCTGGGTATTCAGGACTGCTGACTGGGGTGACAGTGAGTGCTGGATCACCCCCAATCCGTAACATCACTGTGGCCTACAAGTTCCATGTGGGGTCCTATGGTGACACTGGACAGCTTTTCACGGAGAGCTGCAGCATCTCTCCCAAGCTTCGTTCCATCGCTGTCTACTATGACAACCCCCACACGGTAAGGAGCCTCCATGGGCTTCTACCTCTTGGATAAAGCTGGGCCAGGTCATGGTGGGGTAGGAGAACTTGGGTTTCCAAATCTGAGCTGGTCCTGTAGTTACCCTCTCTCTCTAAGCTTAAAGCTCTTCCAGATTTAGCCTGGACCACTGTTGCATCCAGAAGCTTTGTATTTGCTCACAGTTTCGTCCCTTTGCTCATGTGTACTCAAGAATTTCTGAGTGCAGTAGACCCTAGCTTCTGTCTTGACCTTCATTCTCTGTCTCTTGCTGTCCTTTCTTTTTCTGTCTCCATTTGAGGCCGGTGCTCTTAGGCCATCTGCTCATTCTCTAATGGTTCAATCTTGTTTGTCTGCTTTCCATTGCTCAGCTCTCAGGCCAGGTCTGTGGACTCTTGAGGAGTGAGAGGGCAGCTTCTGGGCACGGGGCTCGGAATCCTACCTCTCTAGTCACCATGGTGCTTATCCACCCAGTGATATGTCTTGTCCATAGACCTCAAGCTACCTGTTGGGAGAGGGCCAAGTGGAGCCAAATACCCAAGATGCTGAGGTCAAAGACTAATCCAGCATCACTGGTACCCTGTAGGCGTCTGGCTGTACAAAAGCCTACAGTGAGTCAGGGCTTGCCAATGTAGTTTCCTGCTGTGCTATGGGGTGGTGCTGCCCATAGCTCCATGGGCTGGCAGCTCTGTCAAGGGCTCTTTAGCCTCCATCTTTGAGCCATGCCAAACTAAGCCCTAGGGGATTTTTGTTTGCACTCCTCAGCCTGGATTTCCCTGCCTGGAAAGCTCAAGTGAACAAGCCCTATATACTGCCTAAAGACAAGGCCTCACTGGGACACTTGGTGAAACAAGGGTGTGCTGACTCCTCTCTCTGCCAGGGCCTGCTCTACTTCTGCATTCTGGACATGGATTAAACCTGGCATTGCCCTCAGTAAACTGTAGTTCACCCCCATACAGATGATTTGCCAGCAAGACACTGGACTCAGTGGCGTTAGAAATTTGACTTGGTTATAGGAAGAGTACCTCAAGCATGTGGGGAAGATTCAGAGAAGAGGTAGATGGGCTTTCTCACATGAGTAGAATCTGCCTCTGCCATGCAGGGCTCCTTGACTTAGGAACTATAAGAACTAGAATAACAAATGCCTGGAGGAATGGGAGGAATAGGAAGTGTGGCCTCTTGGACATGTGGAGGGTAGAGAAAGGCTGTGAGAAGAAGGTTCCTTGGGCTAATGGAGGAGGTGCAGCAGTCGGGGAGATGGGTGTGGCATCATTCACTGCCTTTGTTTTAGGAAGCTGACTGTAGGGTAGGTGGAGGAGGGAAGGAGATGAGGCATGGAGGCCACTGGAAAGATTGGGCTGGTCAGGTGAGAGGTGTCCCAGGCCATTTGAAGGATGAGGAAACATTGTGTGAGGTTTGCAGTCACGTGGCTGGAGATGGCGTTACCTGAAGCCAGAGGCACTGGGGCCCTCTTTGGTTGAGGTGCTCGTTCCAGGACCAGACCGGTCGAGGGTAACGGGTCATTACTGGAGGCACAGTCTGGGAAATGAGGCAGAACTCCAGTAAAATGTACTTTTCTACTGGCATGGTGGCTTCTTCCAGTCAACCACCATGGCTCTGTTCGGGAATAGGTGGGTCCCACATCTCCAGTGTTGGCTGAGCATAGTCTACCTTGGATGCTGGTGCAAGAGAGTCATGTCCTGAGAGCTCTGCCTTAGAGCTGGCAGTCTGGGTTCTGATCGTATCTTATTACTTTTTGATGTGCGATATTAGGCATATCACAACTTTTCTGAACTAATGTTTTTTCCCTCTGCAACATCCTGATAAAATACTTGCTTCATAGATAGGCTGTCAAGGACTCAATTAATGATGTAAGTGAGGCATTCACCGCAGCACATGGTTCTCAACAGGTGTTTAACAGAAAAGGGTGGTGAAACACTCATGAACATAAGCTAAGAGATCAGACTGACCTGGCAGTGGATGTCTGGTCAGCCTACAAGATAAATAAAGAGGTTAAAGTGGCCACTTTGATTCTGCACTTCCCTAACTTGGAAACTTGGGTCACTCTGGAAAATACTTAGGAGAGCAGGATTATATCTTGGCATGCACTTGGGGTAGCACAGGGGCAGTTAGGGCTCTGTCTGTGCACCTGAGCTAGACATGGTCTATCCAGTGATGATTGTGAAAGGTCTGGAGAATCCTGAACTCCCAGCATCTGTCTAACCACCTGGTCTACATTCTGGTACTGTAATAATAAGTATAATAGGTGTGCAGTGGTGTGGTGGGGGAGGAGACAGGGATGAAGATAGCCTGAATGAGGTACTAATCTTTTTTGTTTTAGTCAATACATAGTTGAGTCCTGGCTCTGTACCAGACCTGTGCTTGACACTGGGGCACCGTGGAGATGAAGAGATATAGTTTCCTGAGCACTTACGGTGCAGAGTCACGTGGGGTGAGGGTTCAGGAACCTGAAGATGCTAGAGATGATACCCTGTTTCGTTTCTTAGAAAAGCTGAGAATCCTTGTTTGCCACTTCCTAGTTGGCTCTGCTAGCAGTGGCCATCATGGATGTATATATAGGGAAAGAGGATGTAGGCCAACTTTTTGGGTGTACCACCTCCAGTCTCCGGACACAGTACAACAGGAGTCAGATGGGCTTCTCTGTGATTGTGGCAAGAAGTGGTACTCTTTCAGACTCCAGTAAAGCAGTGAGTAACCAGGTTAGAGATTTGGCTTTAGATATTGCTTACCTTGCTGCAGTATGAACCGACAGCTCTCTAGACATGACCATTCCTAGGCCAAGCTGTGAAAGAGGGAAGACGATTCCTGAGAAAGGCTTAGAGAAGCTCCATTCTTAGTGTGGGTCTAGAAAATGGCAAAAGAAGAGACACCTCCAAGTCAGGACAGAGGCAGTGCTGTAAGTTCTTTCATGTCATTTGCTGCTTGAGTCCTGAGTCCTGGATGTGAGGAAACTATGAGGTCTGAGCAGATGGTTTCTGTGAGGCAGGAGGAAGGATTACATTCTCTGGCCCTGAAAGCCTTGACGTAGTTGGGGTAAAGGGGTGCAGGGAGGCGACATGTGTCAGAAAGTGGACAAGACCTGATATGGATCACAGGTGTTGTTCTCTCATCAATGGCCAACATTCATGGAGTACAGGCCATTTCCTCTTTAAGGTACCTCGCGAGTTGGAGTGAGCTCCAGAGGTCACAGTCACAGACCTGCCCTACTTCCCATATCTAATGGTTCACACTGCCTCTTGCTAGAGAAGGGTCCTGGCTGGGGAAAAAGTGTACTGCTATCACCCCTCTTTCTACATTGGGTCCTGGAGAGTTGAAAATTGACTGTAGCCTCTTCTGCTAAGATTAAAAATCCTCTGGGGGCCTTCTGTGTTGGAAGGAAATGAACTGGGAGAACCCTGCATGCCTCACTTGATCCTGACCACGCTGGCCTGCAAATAGGCCCTTGTGGCTAGGTACTGTCACCATTCCTGTAGGTCTGCCCTGTCCACCACCTCCGTCATACCTTCCACATTTACTCCTCTGCTGTTTGGGGTTTATGCAACCTGCCTGTCTACCATTATGGTACCTAGTGAGGCAAGAGGGCGTGGTAGCTAGTTGCATTTACCTAGCCTAGGCAAATGGGATCTGCTGTTCACATCCACAGCCAAGCACCATGCTTTTCCCAGGCATGGAATGATGGAGGAACTGGTGGCATTCTGGACGTAAAGAATACTATGCCCTTCTCTTTCTATTAGTCCACTGAGAATCAAGGCCTAGAATACCAAGTCTGCATGGCCTGAGAGTCAAGAGATCTGACTTGGGTCTGTCTATACAGTGGGGTTTAGGGCCACCTTAAGGCATGTAGGTCAGATGGAGCCTGGGAAAGGATAAGGAGATAAAGTTTCCCAGGGCTGATCTCTTCAACAGGGTGGAAATATGGGCTGAGCTGCTGTTTCCTGAGGACCCAGGCTGTCTCTACTCTAATTGACCTGTGGATGTTTTCTGCCAGATGGAGCCAGACCATTGCTCTATAGTAAGTTAAGTGTAGGAAAGGTCTCACAAAGTGAGCTACTTGCTGCCCTTGGGAGGTTAAGTGAGAGGAGAGGACTCTGGATTCACCCTTCTAGGTCTGAGTCAAGGCTTTAGTTGCTTCCTAGTGTGTGATTCTGTTGTGAGTCATTTGGCCTCCCAGTGAGGCTGTCTCATCTATCAAATGGGATGAAAGACTTCCTCCCGCCTCAGGTGATGAATATTGAACCCAGGGCCTTGTTCATGCTAAATACATCTCCCCCATCCCAGGTTTTATTTTTGTGGCATCCAATTGATGAGGCAAAGGTCCAATGTCTGGCTCCTAAAAGCACATTTGACACCATCCCTGGCTGTGCGAGCCTTGTATACCTTCAGGAAGACCTGCTCCAAGTGTCCTGAGTCTGAGGAGAGACAGTGTGGGGAAAGGAAGGCTGCTGTGTCTCCCTAGCTAGGGCTGGATTCTCAAATTCCCAGGGGACTGTGGGTTGCAGGTTGCAATTCCAGAGCTTGTCTGCTTAGGTTTGAACCCTGACTTCAACACTGCCTTGCATTGTGACATTTGTTGAGTAACTTGGTATCCTGGGCTTCAGGAACAGGGTTGAGAATAGTGTACTGACTGACCATACAAGGCCATCCGGGTTTGATGAACTTACTTGTGGAAAGCAGCAAGTGGTAAGGCCTTGTCAGGTGCCCGCTGTCAGTGAGGTATGCTTCTGGGAGTAGAAGGTTCCTAAGGAACTAAAGATGGCAACTCTCAGAAAGCTCCAGAACCTCTTTTAGAGTTGACATCCCAGTGACTCCTTCCTTCGGAGCCTAAGGTACGGGTCTGTCTCCTGGCCTAGTTGTTGGCATTAGCCCACATTCCAGCTGGTAACTACCCCATGTTCCTTCACATAACAGATAAGTTGAACACACGTCTTGGTGTGTTGACTGTATACCAGGTCTGGGTAAAGGAGGCCCAGTATACATCTGTAATTGGCAGATACTACTACAGTTTAACCCTGGGAGTGTCAGAGTAAGCACAGGGCTCTGTCTCTATGTCTCCCCTTGCATTGGTAACTGTGATTGAGAGCTGCCAAGAAAGGGATCAGGGCAGTCCTCCGGGCTTAGACTGGCAGATGATATACCCTGTTGGCTGAATAGATTGTGGGCTTGAGGTTGGTCGTTTCCAACTGAATCCAGTGTGCCAGCTGACACAGTTTCTCTTTTCTGAATCCTGAATATCAATCTTGTCCTATCCCTATACTTTTAAAGTCTCAGCCAGGCGGTACCCTTGAGATGACTCTTCACTGTGGCCTAATGGTTGTCAGAGAGCTCTCTGGGAGGGACATTGGGGTAGCATCAAGATGGACTCATACCTGAAATCTTTAGGTTATAAGCAATTGCTTTCTTCTCATAGTACTGAGACTGAGGAGGCTGTATACCTTGAAGGAGATATGCTGAAGCCTGGCATGCCCTTGTCTCTTCCTTGGTA